GGGGGGGGAGGATAATAATAAAAAAAGAAAAAAAAAAGTTAAACCAAAACATTATCCTTTCTACCAAAAAATTGGGCAGACATATGGTCAGTTGCTGTAACTCTGAGTCCTAAACAGATGATGCACATTACTAGAAAACCATGGGTGCTCACTTCTTACAATGTACATCCTTTACCAACATGCTTACCTGTACCAGGTAGGTGACATCAGCAAAGAGAACCAAGTTATGTTTCATAAACTCAAGTGACAACAGGGCAGACTTGTCACACCCAATGGGAACTCTAGGAGTGCTGGAATTCCTAAGGCACCACCTGCTGGGTGCACAGCTTCTAGGCATCATCAGTACCTTTGAAGATCTAGCAAGGGTAGTTAAAAAAGTGCTAGTTTGACATTTAGAAGAACTTAACAGTGGCTCCATTTAGAAACCCAAAGGTCCATTATATTAGGATACACAACTGTGCCAGCCTCAGAATAAAAAACACAAAATGCACAGCAAAGTGGAACCAAAGTAGTTCCCTCCTTTTCTGCTCTCATGGAAGGAGAGGCGTTTCCCAGCCCTTTCCACAGAACAGGCTGTAGGACCTTCCAACTTAACAGCTTGCAAGAGATGAGCAGGAGACCAACACAACCCAGTCACAGAAAACTTGCTGCGATCCTGGCTCAACTCTTTGCCAGCTTAGCACCAAAGTAATCTTGCTACTAAGGCTGCACACAAGACTCCTCTCTCTTAGGATTTTCATGCAAGAAGAGGCAATGAAGAGACCCAGTTTCTAGTATTTTTTTTTCCTTCCTGTGTTCCGGTCACAGTCAGGGAAGTACACAGCCTACATGCATTGGGCATCACTAATCAGCATCCACCCAATCTGGAGTGAAACTGCTGCAAGGGACCTAGAATCCCACTTAATCATGAGAAAGGGGGAGCATATGCACTCACAAGGATCCCCTCCACATGTGGCTCAATTCTTTGTAATTGTCACTATTTCCCCACTTTGAAAGTTTCTGTTTACTTCCTTTGAGGGTCATTTGTTTCCCATATCAGCCAGCATTTCCCTACCCAGAAGTTCCCTCAAAGTTCTTCAGTCCTGAAGTGAATCTACCATAGCAGTGCAGCATCTTTCAATTTTACCTATCCCCCACTTTCTAAACACTGTCCTTCTACACTGCAAAAAAACCTGCTCCCAGGGAGGACTTGGGGAGGGACACATTACCAGCGTTACTCACTCCAGCACTGTCCTGTCAGATTTGTACTGAAAAGAGAACCTACCAACATTACAATCTTACCACCACACCCCTAAGCAGAGCAAGTTGGGGAAAGAGGAAACAGGGCAACATGTTTTTTCAATTGCCAGAATTACTAAATAAAGAAAATTCACTAGGGAGATACTTAGAGCTACCTTAAGTAGCATAGCTCCTGTAGAAGCTATTAACTGTGGCTACCAGTCAGCTGCAAGATCCAGCATTTACCTGCCAGAGTTATGAAATTATGGTTTTGAAGCAGCAAGAAAGAAGAGTGTATGTAGCAGCACTCATTGCCACTTAAAGCTCATTTTCCCCAGGGCAGTAAGCAACTAGCAAATAATTTAAGATAAAGTCAACCTTGTAAGCTGGAAATTAACTCTTTGGGTCACCTGCCAAATCTTTTATCATCATTAGACAAAAAATGATCCAAGGTGTTACATAAACTCTGTACTGCTTTCCAGATTGCAATGGCACAAAGCAAATCTACAGGCACAACCTTTAAATCAGTTTTCTTTTAGACTGCATGGCTATTGCATTCTCCCAATTTAAGGTCTAAAAACTCCAAGGGTGCAGAAAGAAGTACAGCTCCAAGCTGTAACTCAGAACAATTTTTGCAAAGCATTCCAAGTTACAGCGTTACCTCAGACTAAACAGAAGTTCACTTCTGGTTCTGGGGGTGGAGGCGAACCTGGAAGCCACAGCCGAGGGGGCAGTGCTGGTCCACAAGGCCTAATCCTGGCTCAGGGTCCAGCCTCATCCACTTATCTGCCCCCAGGGGCGGCAAGATTTTAAGCATCGTTGGATTAAATTAAGAGAGTTTGCTCAGGGCAAGAGAGGTGAACAAGAAGAGTATCACCTATTCATTTTGTGATGCATCATCTTACTACCACTGGTCCACTAAGCATTATTAAGATGTCTTTCTTCTTTTAAAATGTGCACTATTGAAATTAGGATAAGTCCAGGAATGATAAACAGCATACTCATACCAACTGAATGCATAACACCAGGCTCATCCATTCCTAGTTTCCCTCATACCCTTTTCAAGGTGGAGTACAAATCTCAGTTATCTCCAAAACTGAAGAACCCCCTTATTAAGTCAAATACAAATTCTGTAGAAAATTCTGTATAAAAGTACAGCAGCCTTTAAAAGGTTTCAGGCTTTATCATAAATATAGAATAGCTAAAGTTCAAGTACACAAGAAACAGCTGTAACAAGCCACTTCTAGGAACATGTGGTAGATGTTCATTACCCATGTTTAGATGTACAGCCTATTATAAACAGGATGCAAGTTTACTTGCTACGTTAGCTTCCTAACTGGCACTTAAAATTTCATTTTACCAACCAAAAAAAAAAAAAATCCAAAACACAAAGCAAGCAGCCATTTGCTTCCTGTCATTTAAGTAAATAGGTTACTACCCTTTTAGAAATCCTAAACTTTATGTACTGGAACATGCAAAAGCAGGTATGAAAAAAAAGCCATTAAAAAAAATATGATCCTCTTTTCCTACTTTTAGCCTTTACACAAGAGTGATGTTTTCAGAACAGAATGTGTATTAGTCTAGGGACAGAGGAGAATTACTTCCTTAGAGTCGAGAGTAGTAGTTCACAATTCCCACCTTATAAACAATAGTTTTGCCTTACTGCCTATAATTAAGACTTGAAAAAAGAAACCTGTTCTAGTATTTTAAGAGATTGTTGCATAGAAATCTTTTGCATGCTTTGGCCCATTAAGAAGAGTGAATCTTGCTTTCTATACTTTGTAATATCAAAGTTAAAAATTACTTTTAATAAAAAAAGGCATTCTTTTTAGTCTTATCAAACCAAGTTACAGATAAGTCAGCTTATTTGGAAGCATGCTTCTACATGCTTGGATAAAAATACAGTTGCAGTAGGAAGGATACTAAGCCCTCACCAATAATCCACTGCTCTTTGATTTGCATACAAGAGCTAGATCAGGCCCAGTAGCAAGCTTTCTCCAAGCAAAAACTTTTGTTGAACAATTGCCATTGACTGGATGAGACCACAGGTCTACCTTGCCCAGCATCCTGTCACACAGCAGCATGAAGTAAGTGCTGAAGGAGAGAATGAACAAGATGACTAGAGATTCCTTTTCCCCAATTCCTTTTCCCTCTTGCAGCCTCCAGCATTTAAGGTCTAGGAAATTCTGATACAAAGGCTTAACTCTCATGTGCAATAGCTATTGGTAAGCCTTTCCTTCAAGAATCTGTCCAATCCTTTTTTGAATCTAGATAAATTGTCAGCTTCTACACCTTGTAGCAATGAGTTCAACACTTTAATTACATGCTGTGTGAAGAGCTTCCATTTGTTATCAAGTTTAAAACTAGTTTAATTTTGTGATCCCTAGTTCTTGTATTGGGAGACAGTAAATAATCAATCCCCATTTAAATTTCTCTTCATCGTTTTGAAAGCCATTACATGTCCCCATTCAAGAGGTCTCTTTTTTAAACTGACTAGGCCTAGCCTCTCCTCACATGGAAGTTCCTTCATACCACTAAATCAACCTTGTTGCCCTTCTCTGTCCCATCTGTAATTCTTCTATATATCCTTTTTGGAGGTGTAGGGACCAACACTGGGCACAGTATTCAAGGCATGGACGCACCATGGATTTACAGAAGTGCATAAAAATACTGTCAGTTTTTTACAATTCTCAGCTTTTTTTTTTTTTTTTATTTTTTTTACAGCTGATTAGCTAAAAGCAGTGGCTCAGTGCTAACTGTCCACAATGACTCCCAGGATCTTTTTCTAGTGTGGTAACAGGTAACTTAGAGCCCACCATAACATAGATACCATTTGGAGGAAGGGGGTATACCCAGGTGCATCATTTTACACATCTACACTAAATTTCATCTGCTATTTAGTTGCCCATTTCCTCAATAGCACAGAATCCTTCTCTAGTCTACTTCCGATAAGATGTGTTGTCAACAAGTTTGGTCATCTCATTACTCACTCCCTTTAACATAAGTGATCTGGTAGACAGCAACTGCCCTAACACATCCCACTGTTTACTTATTTCCATCCCCAAAATGGACCATTTGTACTTGCTTTTTCCCCCACCCTTAAGCCCATTACTAATCCATGCCTGAGTGGACCTTCCCTGTAATCCCATTACTACCTAATGTTAAGAGCCTTCAATAGGGGACCTTGCCAAAGGCAATTTGCAAGTCCGTATCTACTAAGCAAACTGGATCACCCTGATCTACCTTGCTCACTGGAGTTCTTTGATATTGTCAATAGGTTGGCAAGGCATGATTTCCCCGTGACAAAAAAAGTCACATTAATTCTTCCTTAGCAAATAATGTTAATCCAGCACCGAGCAATTCTTTTATTATTGCCCGCAGCAGGAACAATATAGTTCCCTGGGTCCCCTTTATAGCCCTTTTAAATATTGGGGCCATATTGGCAGCCTGCTAGTCCTCTGGGACTGAGATAGTTTTTAAGAGACAGATTGCATACTATAGTTAGGAGTCAAGCAGTTTCAGATCTAAACTCCTTCAGGGCCATAGGGTAAATACCACCAGATCCAGGTAATTTATCAGTTTCCTCTACAACCTCATCTACTGAAGCCTCTATTTGGGTCAGCTCCACAGACTTGTCCCTAGAGAGTGGGTCTGGTGAGGGAATATCTGTAACATCTTCAACACTGAAGATAGGCCTTTGGATGATTGGGGTATAAGAAGGACACTAAAGGATGACAGGGCAATTGTGGAGAAATTAAATGCATTCTTTGCATCTAACAGACTCCCTGGTCCATCTTAAGCCTCTAACGTACTTCAGAAATAACATGTACTCTGCTCCATGTTGGAGTAGGGCCAGAGCCTGTTGGAGCCAGAAGGGCAAATGGGAGGCGTAACACTCGACACACAAAAACAAAAAACCCTAGACATTCTGGTAAGGAGTCTTCTAGTTCTTGAAAGAGTCTCTCCTCTCCTGCTTAGTGTGGGGAGAAAGAACTGGAATGGTTTAAATACAAGCCAGCCCATTAAATATAGCATACTGAACTGTAAAAAGTCACTGCAATACTGATGGCTCCATTCTCTGCAGAGTCCAACTCCATTTAAAGCCATTTGTTTTGCCTACTCAGAACCAGCAAGTTGTACACATCTGATTTGGCCCAGTGCTCTTCCAAGCGAGAGGCGGCAGAGAAGAGCTTCACTTAATGTCAGCCTGGATGTAGACTATCAAGAGTGCAGTGGGAAGAGACCCACCCCACTTTCAGCTTTTAAAATTGCCTCCCCATGCTCAATTGGATGCCAGAACATCAAGGAAGACCTGTCTGGCTTTCCAGTCACCACCCTCGCTACTCATCTGAGAGGCATGGAAGCAAGCGAAAGCCAGAGGGGCTGGGAACCAGGCATGAAGAGTTGTTTTTTTCCCCAGCCTGGCTCCCCCTTGCCAGCCAACTGACCCAGAGCAATGCAGGCTGCGGTGCCACAGCTGCAAACCAAGGGACCCTTGCCACTGAAGCAAAACACCCCTGCCTCACATCAGCACAAGATGAGGCATGCTGTTGTGCCCTTGCCACAGCACGCCAAGAGCTTTGTTGCAGGTGTCAAAGTGCTCCCTGCCCCCCTATTCTCACAGGTCAGCCCAAGAGATTGTAAGGAGCAAGGGCTGTTCTGCTGCAGTGGAGAACAGAGAAGCTTTCTGCCACAGGAGAATGCCCCTCTTCTGGCAGCCAGCTGAATGGCAGGAATGGTGGGGGGGGGGTGGAGGGAGAGAGAGACAGGACAGACAGACCATTCTCTCCAGGCAGGAATCATCCCCTGCAATGTGTGGCAGCTGCTGCTTTCCAGCAGCTGCCAACTGCCACTTGCCAGCCTGAGCTGTTCTCAGGCCCCTGGGCTATTTTTCTACCAGGAATGTCTTCCAGTAAAAATAAACATCTGTAAGGAGCCACAGTAGAGAG